AGCCTAAAAATACACTAACAACTGCTACTGTGCACGGCAAGTTTTGCAACCAAATTGGCATATGAAAATAAACCAGCATCTGGTAGAAGATATGATGACTAAATAAAGAACTGAAACCACAACACCCCTCTGTGAATCGCTACCTTATAGTGGCTTGAGGGGTTTGTGTGTCCCAGGGATGTCAGAGGCTATGCTGTCCAGGGGCATTTGCCCCCTAGTAGGGTCTCCCATGGCAAATTGGTCCTGGGTGAGGGATCAAACAAAGAGCAATTCAAAAGACTCTTATGAGTACATGATCAAGGGAACTGTTCTGGTCTCAGAATCTCATCTTTGCTGGAACCAGCACTCCTGGAGAGGAGCTGGACTCTGTCTCTGTCTGGAGTTGCCCTTGGTGAGAGACGACGGGCTGGGGTGGGTATCCTAGTATCCCCTTGGCTTGCTGCCTGTATGTTGCGGTTTTTCCCAGTGGACAAGAGGGTTTGTTCCCTCCATCTTTGGGTTGGGGAATTAGTCCTGACTGCCGTTTGCCATTATGCGCCGAATGACGGTTCTGATTAGCCAGCCTTCTTGGAGTCCCTTCTTGGAGCCTCCCGGATCTGAACCCCAGTGGTGTTTTGTCATTGACCATTACCATGCGGAAGGACCCATGGGAGAACAAATCAGGGAGCGCTAAGTCTAAACCATGGCATCTCCCCATTAATAGCCAATCACAAATATTACCTGTTTACATGTGTCCAATATTTACTTTGAATTATGAACTGTCTGGGAGTTTTCCATGCGCAAACTGCCTGACATAGAGAAGTCCACAGCTTTGCAAGCCGAATCTTAGCTGCCTGATAATAAAATAATGTGAACTGCTAGATTGTCTACATTGTCTCTTGAACTTTTCTTAGCAAAAAAGAACTCCACAGTAGCCAAGTGGCCGAAGGCTTTGACTTTGGGTGGTCTCAGAATCTTATCTCTGCTTTTCGCAGAAGATATGGTTTTGGTGGGTTCAACAGGTGATGGCCTCCAGCTTGCACTGGAACAGTTGTACCCGAGTGTAAAATGGGGGGAATG